CAATACACAACACATTTTGTTATAAAATGATTTGTGTTACGTAATTTACAATTTTTTATATACATAGTTAGATATGTTATATATATACACACAATTTTTACACTAATTTATATAAAAACATTAGTATATATATGTACTACTTATACAAAATATTAATATATATGTACTACTTATATATAATATTAATATATATGCATATTTTCTTTTAATTTTATATAGAAACAAGATTATATTAGTTAAATACAGTTTCCATATACATTCTTAATATCAAAATCAATTATACTTACCAAAAAGAAAAAAATATATATATATATATCAATTAATTTATTTTATAATTATAACTATAAAAAATTGTACATCATACATCTACTACTTACCAATCATACATTAACTTTCGAATAGTTACAGCCAAAATTCTAAAGCTATACCAAAAACGTTTACAACCCAAATTCTACAGCAATTAATATACAGCTACAGCCCAACCAATCACCCACTAAGTGTGTGCTTAATCTTTTCAGATTTTATAAAATTTTGTTTTCATAGGTGAATATTGTAGATACGGTGATGGATTTATGTTGGTTTATACGATGACTATGTGAAAAAATATATATCTTTTTATAACATTGATGAATCATGAATCGAAATCTAGATTAATCTCTGAAACTTGTAGAAATTTGTGTTTACTTGCCACTTAAACGTTTACAAATAGCTCATAGTTAATTATATGATTTCATTTACTATAAATTTTAGTTAACTTTTGATAATTATTATAATGTTCGGACTCAAATCTGAAGTACGGATTTAAACCCCAAAATAGTATTATTTAACGAATATATATTTAATATCATGGAGGCCATATATAAAAGATACCATAAACAGGTGTGAGAGTATGAGGGACAAGGAAATCACAAAGATTTGATATATCACTATAAGAAAAAGAAAAAAAAACTAACTCAAGAAACCAAAATTGAATTTCTCTGTTGGCCACTTTATATGTTTTCAACCAACAACTGAAACGCGCCAAGCTGTC